GCGCGCGCCCCGCGCGCGGGAGATCTCTGGAGGAGGAGGAGGAGGAGGAGGAGGAGGAGGAGGAGGAGGGGAGGAGGAGAGAGAAGTAGGAGGAGGAGGAGGAGGAGGAGGAGGAGGAGGAGGAGGAGGAGGAGGAGCGGCGCCCGCCCTAGCCCTGTATGCGCCGCCCACCAGCACACCGCCCGTGCTCTCGAGAGCCGACCTGGCCCATGTGCGCACGGTGTCTGTTGGCGGCAGGCAGTACGTCTCGCACGCTTTCCAACTTGTGGGGGGGGGCAGTGGTGCGTGGTGTGTTGTGTGTGTGGGGGGCGGGTGGGACGGTCGTCTCGGCCAGGCTCTCGAGTGTCTGCCCGGGACCGCAACCTCACGGCTCCTGGGGCGTTCGTGTGCTGTCGAACTTCGCCAAAGGGCGATTCTCTGTGAAGAAGCAGTGGCGCCACCTTGTGCAGCCACTGATCGCCTCGGAGATGCTGCGTGTCGGCGAGACAACCTCGGGGCAAGGTTTTGGAGAGCGCCGCCCATCTGCCCCTGCGGATGGTGGCGCAAGCGGCAGTCAGGCGCCACCCACGTCAGCGGCGTCGGTGGCGTAAGTGGCTGCAGGCGCCACCCACGCACGCTGGCGTGGTGGCGGAAGTGGCATGGGTGTGACAGACTGATGTTGCGCCTTGGTTTGGTCGAGGGGGAGGGGGAGGAGGAGGAGGAGGAGGAGGAGGAGGAGGAGGAGGAGGAGGAGGACTGACTGACTGACTGACTGACTGACTGACTGACTGACTGACTGACTGACTGACTGACTACGAATCGGACCCAACGTGTCGTCACGACTTGCATGCTACTATACTGCTGGAGCGTCCACCTGTCTACTTGACTTCTGGGTCTATCTGGAGCTGGGCCCCTCACTCGCGCCAGAGGGGCGCTCGCGTCAACAAACGCACTGGCTCTGAGGGCAAGCTACTCCCGCACTCGTCGGGCTAGCCGCTCACGAGCACTCGGGTGTCATGACTCTGGTGATGCAGCGCCTTTCGATTTGCCTTTACGGCGCGACGGAGGGCGTGGCGGAGGGTCAGGGCGAGGAGTGAGGAGGCGGAGGTCGACATGAGTCTGAAAGACTGCAGCTGGCTGGCTCGGCTCTCGAGGGGTCAGTTTTCCTGAGGCCTGCAGCTGTGCAAAGCGCGCGCTGTCACGACAAGCTGGCGGTGCCGAACTGGCTGGAACTCTCTCAAGCTCGGCTGGGGCCAGTCGAATTCGGTGAGTGGGGTCTGGAACCTGATCTGTGTCATCAGGGATTACCTCTAGGATTATCGGTCGAACCTCAACGCTTAGCTCTGCTGATAGACTAGCTTCGTGAGGCCCCTCTGCAGTGGGCCGCGCGGCGCACCCCCGAGACGGCGCTGACCTCCCTCCGCCTTGATCTCCTTCAACAACACGTCGTGCACGCTCTTCACGTCGGGCACGTGCAAGTCGAAGGAAAAGATCAGCCGCACTTTCTCCTTGTTCTGCTTGGGCTGCTTGTTCACTTTCGCCTTGTTGTGCTTCACGCACGTGCCCAGGAGCTCGGAGTCGGGCTTGCACACCACCTGCGTCCAGAACTTGTCCAGGAGCTCCCTGTCGTCTGGCGGGACTACGTCCTTGATGCCCTTGATCACGGCTGCGACGACGACCAGGTGCGGCGGGCCCAGCGTTGCGAGGTCGACCGACGGGTCGGAGGCGAAGCGTTCCTTGAGCCGCTTGGCGTCCTCCTTGTAGGCCTTGCCGCCCTCCACCGCCAGGCTCGCCATGGGCTTGTCCGCGTCGAGCTCCCAGGTCTCGTAGACCACCGCTTTCATGTCCTCCACGTCCTTGGCCACGTTCATCGTGAGCTTGGCCGTCATCACGGCGATCTCCTCGAGGCGCTCGTAGTCTTGTCCTTGTCGCGGCCGCCCTTGCCTTTCGTCCTGAGCTCCTTGGCTGCGCGCCCCCCTCCTTTCTCCGCTGCTCCTGCCACTGCCTGGAGCGCGCGCTTGCCCGTCCAGGCCAGCTCCATCGCGAAGGCATCCTCCTCCGCCGCCGCCGCTGCTGCTCCATCTGGCATGTCGGAGTGGGTGTTCGTCTGCACCTGGCTCACGCGGCTCCACCGTCGGTCGGGCGCGAGGGCCAGTCGGAGGAGCTGGCTACAACACCGCCCTGCGGAAATGACTACGGAGGTGCTCGTAGAGCTGTTGTTTGTCGTTGTTAGCGTATCCCACAGCTGGCATTTCGGGGTAAAGGGCTCGATCGGTCTCATCGTTCGTGTTCGGTCAGCTGGGCACCTGCCACCTAAGAGAGCACGCATCAAGTGTCGGGCTACCGTACTTCTCTCACCAAGCACCGTGCCACAATTGACGTACTCGTTAGTAGGTGTGAGCAGCGACGCAATGTTACGAAACTTGTGTTTGCTGCGCATATGTGGCATCAACGCCTTACGTGTACTAAAGCACGCGCCGCACACAGGAGCTGAATGCTGCATCGCCGGGGAAGATCCACGAGCACCGTCATCAGCCGTAGTCGGCATTGTCGCGGCCAACCCACCAGGGCCCCAGTGACCGGCCAGGCTAACGTCACCACACCAGTGGCCGGCCAGGTTAACGTCACCACATCGGAGGGGGCTCCGATTAGACACGGTAGTAGTCAGCTCACATTTCCATGGGGATATCTCCGACAGTACTGCCTCCTCTTCTGCAAATAGCTGCTGCTGCCGCCGAGGTCCCTGGGCGGGGGAGGCCCGGGGGCGGGATCGCTCGGGCTCCGAAGGCCTGGCGGAGCTCCCTTGGGGTCGAGGGCCTCTAGAGGGCAACCTGGAAGTCGAGCTCAAAGAAGTGGCCAGGCTCGATGCCGAGGTTAGTTAAGTTACTCGCAAACGTGTCCGTGCGACAGGCCTCTTCGAGGTCCTCAATAATTGTTTGTGCCCATGCATTACACCGTGGGTGGAGCGTGCCGTCTTCGCAAACTGTCGGCCCGGTGTCCACTGCAGGTTGTCCGAATATGGCCGTGAGTACTTGCTGGTGTAGCATATGGTTGAGTAGCATTTTTCGGATCCAGGTGAGGCGTCGCACGATTGCTTCCATCTGCTTCGGTTAGATTCGCCAACGTCGAAGTACTTCATAGCTCGTGAGACTCCGAGCCTTGCCATCTGCCTGATAAGTGGTGGCTTTACCTCGCATGGCCCTGCGAGCTAGTCCTGCCACCGTCATAGTAAGAGCCCTGCACTCCGCTTTGGTCGGTAAGAAGCTCTCTACACAGCTGAGTCCCGTGTTGACCACCTTGCATATAAGTACTGCCCGTTTCCACTTGAATGGTATCCCCGCCCTGTACCAGAACCCTCCCATCTCCCTGTATGCCCTGAGCATCGCATGTATGCGCATTGGAAGCTCTGCCCCGTACGTGTGTACCGTGTTTATGTGTGGCCCTAAGTACCGTGCCGATTGAACTGTGCGTCCTGGGAGCGTGCATTGTCGTGTGCGCAGCAGTCTGTATTGTGCCGTCGTGCTTCGTCCCTGCAGCCTGATCAGAGATTATCCTGCTTGTCGCGGTTCTGTGCCAGACCGAACCTTTGCAGTCTCTCGTCGAGCACATCGTCAGCATGCTGAGCTTGCTGGGAGAGGGCCACCGCCGGTTGGCTCGATGTGTTGATCAAGATCTGTTGCAAATCGTCCGCATATAAGCCTAGATACTGCGGGTGCTCGAAGAACGGGCATGCTGCCATAAGCAAGCTGTCCTCGGGGAGCATTTCGATGCACGCTGCTTTCCATTGTTCGACGTGGGGGGCGAACAGGGCTACGAAATTGTACACCATGAACGGATCCCCGATCAGTCCCCCACAGCCTGGTCGTATCATCGTCGGCTCCCCCTGATCCATGCAAGGCACCGTGAACTCACTCTGTCTATACCGTTGCTCTCCCACCTCCCACATCTCCCTCGGCAGTAGTTGTTGTGTCGCCACATCCATACTCAGCCAACTACCGCTCGCGAACGCATTCGTCATATCCTTTAGCGTAACTGCGTATGATACCCCTGCCCGAGACAGCCTGTCCTGAGTGACCAGACTCGCAAGTATTGCTCCCTCCCTCCTCCGTCCTTTCACACATCCATGATCCTCATCTTTCCAAGGCTGTGCTGCTCCTTGCTCGAGTTGTGCGGCATAGTAACATTTGCCTAGCGGGTCCAGGATGTGGTAGACTCGTTTGCTTGCAGGTCCTATTTTGTTGTTCTTGCGTACCGCCGTGGCGTCATTGACGTGCCATCTTACTGGGGTTTTCTTTTGGATTCGGATTTGGCGAAAGGCCTGCTCCCACTGAATCCTAAAGTTCCGTGGGAATGTCTTCTGTCGTTCAGTGCCAATTCCAGCTCTATCCTGCACCTCCGCGGGTCTCGTGAGCAGCATGCGCCAAGCCTCAGCTGGGGCTGAGCCTAGAAGGTGGGCCCTACGGAGTCCTGCACGATACAACTTCCGAGCCACGCCTTTCATATCGGCCTTAGCCCCGTCGATGGTCTCATTGAGCGCTGAAACCTCTAAGGGGTAGGTGGTGCTCCTCGACTCCTCGTGCATCTCCTCCCGAGTCGTCGGTGCTGCTGCCATGCCCCCTTGCCCTCCAGGAAGCCTCCAGAAGTCCTCTCATTTCCGTCTGGTCGGCATACCTGTGATCACACTGCGATAGTTGCGTCGTCGTGGTCCCAGCTGTGTGCCCGCCAACAGTCTACTGAGCCGTCCCACCTCTGCTATGTCCCTGCGCCTCCAAGCCTCCCACACTTCCTCCATTTTCTCCTCCCCCACCTTCTGTCTCGCCTCCCTCCTCATCCTCGCGCACTTCGTCGTGAGTGCTTTCAGCCGTGCCGCCACGTTGAGCATGTGTTGCTCTGTACCCGTGCCCTGAAGCTCACGTATGTCTCTGCGCTTGGCAAGGAGAGCCAACCTGTCTTGCTGGAGTCGGTGATAGGTGGTGTCCTTAGTGGTGTCCTGACAGAAGTGTTTGGCGGCTAACCTGCTG